TTTCCTTGCTCTCACTTAATATACTTCAGTTTGCAAAGCATGTTCTATGTGACTTATGTTGCTTGATTCTTTCAAAGCAATTCTATGTCACCGTTCACAGTTTACAGATGTGGATACCGAGACCTGTAACAGTGAACTGACTTGCTGAGATTGTAAACAAGAGCCTAGATAGATTTGAACTTAGATCTGAGGCTTTAAAGCTCATGACCTTAAATATTCATTTCTTTGCTAAAGAAGATAGTGCTTATTAAATTAGAGATCCTAGGAGACTTGATTGTCCTATTTCTCAGCACTTAATTCAAACACTAAATATATTATCAGGGTTTTAAAAAAGTGACTGTAAATTGAATATCCACGTGGTGCTTCAGTGATTCTTTTATGGGCTTATTGGCTCAGGTCTCATCAGTATAAGAAAATCTGAAATTTTATAAGTTTTTCTTCTTTTTATTTTTTGATACCCAAGCAAAGTGCATGTGTGTGAACTTTTGCAATGATTCTTTTTAAGTGCCCAGTGCTAGGTAAATGGAATAGATTTAGTTTACAATCTCTTCTGATATTTTCCTAGGGTTGAACTCCATAGAATGAAAATATCTCGGCCAAAGCCTGAAGTGGGTAAATACACAATGATCTTCCACACTAGAGACAAAGGTAATGAGGTGAACATGGAAAGGTAAGTCCTGGGTTCATGTCTGACAACCTGCACCTGGCCCCTTCTGTCAAGAGGGACTGTGCTGATTTCCATAAGATGAGCAAGTACCTTTTGTTAAAAGCTTTTTAAGAAAGAAATTTTCAAAAAGAAACAAGATTAGGGAGAATGGTGCATGGAACTCCTCCATATTTACTTGTAGCTTTTTTTGTTCCCTCCTCTACTAGATTATTTAAAAATAAATCAAAGATATTATAAATTTTGTGTGAAAATCCTTCAGTATGCACCCTTGGAATTCCATTATCTTACCTAACATAAAATTAGCAATACTTCCTAAATATCAACAAATGTCAGGTTTCCCTGATTATCTCATAAGTGCTTCAAAAACAAAAGTTGGTAGTTCAGTTCATTGTATAGATAAGGTCTATACTACATTTGGATGATCTTTTCATTTATTTATTTTTTAAAATTTTATTTTATTGGTACATTTTAGGTATACAATATAATGACAT